TCTCTCTGTCTGTCTCTCTCTCTTCGTGTGTGTCTATCTGTCTCTCTGTGTTTCTCTCTGTGTCTGACTCTGTCTCTCTGTCTCTCTCTCTGGTGGTGGGGAGATTGAATTCAGGGCCTTGTGTACGACAGGCAAAGAAGCATTGTATCGCTGAGCCACATCCACAACCAGTCTGGGCTTTGGGTCTTTCTGTTTACCCAACCCCTGGATGAGCCCACCTTTCCCTGAGCCTCAGTTTCCACATCTGTAACATGAGCAGATTGGTCTAGCTCTCGCTGAGGAACACCTGCTGTAGGACTGCAGGTGTAGCCAACACAGGAGCTCCCTGGCTGTGTTACCACGTCTGTCTGTACAGAACCGGAGCTGGCAGGAACCCAGTTACAGGCAGCTGAAGCAGCGTAGACACTGCTTCCCTAAGCTCACACAGTGATTGACATATTTTTACTCTCCTTCTCTATGATGAGGCTACCCAGGGTCCTGGAGCCCTAGGTACAATGGTAAACAGCTTGCCCTGACATCTTATCATATTCACCTCAAGCCGTTCCAGGAGAATACACTGTCCATCTTCCTGCCTCTGCCCAGAGCTCAGTGTTGGTTACTCACACTCACACATACTTTCCCTGGAGAAGGGGACCAGCCCTACTCCTGCCTCAGGCCTTTCTGCAGCCTGTCTGCCAAGAATGCTCTTTTGCCTCCTTCTAGCACACAGCCACCCAAGTTCTTTCCTGCCCTTCTGTGCCACTTTCAGGGTCCCCCCCACACACTTTAGGAAGCCTCCCTGACTGACTGGGCCTCACAGTCCTGAATAATCATATGGCCTGTTTGATCATGTGTATTTTTTTTTCACTCATCATGCGTATTTGAGGCGTGTCATGTCTTTCCTGTGTGTTGTGTTCCCCTTAGCAGGGAGTGTCCAGGAACCATAGATCAAGCCTCTAAGTACCGGCATGCTCCACTCTAGCTGGCGATCTGAGTTCATCGACCCCTGCAGGAATGGTAGTCTAGGCAGCTGCAGTTGCAAGTGTAAAAAGTTCTTGCTCTCCCATGGGCCCCGGGCTGGGCCTGTTGCTTTCCCGGCTGCCGGAGGCCAGGATGAGCACATCAAAGCCAGGTCCGGGGCTATGACCAGGCTCTTTCTTCATCCTGGGAGACAGATCTGGGCTAATAATGCCATCTCCAGACTCATGGCTCCACATCCATACTTGTACTAATTAACATATGGGTAGCTTTAGGTAAGTTCCTTCCCTTCTCTGGACCTCAGTTTCCCTTTCTGCCTAAGAAGAGACTATGGGCTCTGAAGGTCTGTGGTCTGGGGCTTGGCTCAGACCTTGGCGCCTCAGATGCATGGTTAAAGGACTAACCCCCACCCATCACATACAGCAAAGGGCAGCAATTTTACCAAGGGGATTTACAGGTTGGTTTTGTTGTTTTGGGTTTGATCATTTTTTGTTTATTTATTTTGGTACAGTGTCTCACTATGTCGTCCAGGTTGGCCTTGAATTCCTGGGCTCAAGGGATCCTTCTGTCTCAGATGATCCCAACCACAAGTATTCTTCATGTGTTCAGAGGTGGGGCCCTCCTCTGGTCCCATATGGAGGTTACAATTCATCTGCGCCATGCTTAGACTAGGGCATTTTGGGGAGCACACCCCTGCTCACCTTGCAAGGCTGAGCTGGACTCTCCTCCTTTTCCAGGAAGCTTCCACTTGCCTCAGCACAGCGCCTGCCCTTCCTAGGGGATGTGTGAATCCTGTGTCTTCCTTCATTAAGCACTTGCTAAATGCCAAGTCTTGCCCTCAGGATATTACATGCTTTGGGTTTTGAGAGTCCTACTGCCAGATAAGGCTCATGTCTGGCACTAGGTGGATGAAGACACAGGCTCATGAGGCAAAGTGGGTTTTTGCCTGTAACACCTGCTGCCAATGTTGATCCACTTCATTCCCAGGCCACACTACTCTTCCTGGGCATAATTCTCAGGCTCCTTAACCTGCCACCTGTTTGATTCTTTATGCCAAAATTTCTTTGTCTTCCCAAATGGTCACCCTCTGTATAGGTCCTTGAGAGTGTGACAGGGGCGAGGGAACCTTGGGTCCTAATTTGACATGAGTAGGGAGCACAGGTGTGTTTCTGACCTCAGGGCAGAAGCTACCGTAGGTGAATAACTGTAGAGGGAGCAGGAGAGATAGGGAGGCCCATCCAATTGTGGAGAGGCTGTTCCAGGAGTACTTCCTCCTGGCACAAGTGGTTTAATGAGCTCATGAATATCCTGGGTCCAAGTGGTAGAGAAGAGAGAGCATGCCCCAGGAGGAAGAAGCTGCAGGAGTAAGGCCATAGGGGAAAGGTTTTCACTGAGTATGTTGCTGTCTGGCCGGTATGCTTGAGGGGCAAGAAGGAAGGTTGGAAATGGGACAGGTTGGGGGGGTAATCTTGCTGCCCTGCCTCGGTAAACATTCCTGATAGGCTTCCTCTTTCCTTGGGTGGTATAGTTGAGCCTAGGACCTCCTTGGCACATAGTAGGTGCTCCAGAAGCTCTGTCAGCCTCTCTGGATACCAAGCTGACCTCCTCTAGGCTTGCACACAGAGATGGCTCCTGCTTGGTCCCTGGCAAGGATGGGTTCCTTCCTGCTGACTGCAGTGTTACCTGCTCCTGTCACCCGTCTTTCAGGATAGGCACCTTGGTTGGGTGGGTGGTATTAGGCATTTCCTGCTGAACCCATCTGCCTGCTGTGGACATCTTATTCTCTGTGAAGCTACAATTTCTCCTCCCCAGATCTTAACCTGCGGCTGGAGCCAGCTGCCAGGAGGCCAAGGATATTGCAAGCCTCCAAAGTTGGAATGTGTAAACTCTTACTACCCATTTACTCTTAATTACCTCCCCTCCTTATTTGTCTTCCTTTAACGGCCTGTCAACCAAAATCTCCCGCCTTTCCCTCGGCGCCAGCGGCCTCAATTAGGTGCACATCTGCGGAAACTGAGACTGAAATGCCCAACCTCCAGCACTCACTGCCGAAATGGCTGGCCCCAGGTGCCTGAAGGCCTGGGTGCTCTCCAAGGACAGCACTGCCACCTTTATATCAGAGGTCAAGCAGGCTGTCCCTAACACGGACACTGCAGTCTGCCTTGGGAAAGTACCCACCCTGAACAGGAAACCCAGAAGGAGTTGCATCCTGTGAGCTGAACAGTTATTCATCCAGCAAACGAGCCAGGAAGGACATCTCAGGTCAGGTGTGCCGGCAGGTAAGGGGTACAGGTGTTAGAGAGAGGTGTCAGCAGGACAAAAGGGGACCACTTAGCCCAGACATACTGACTCTCCAGCGCAGGACACTCTCTTTATCCATCATGGTGGTGAATTGGTCTGTCCACAGGTGTGGGCAAGGACACACCTGTTTGTCCCCCTACAGAGCTGGCCTGATGCAACCACCCATAGTTCACTAGGCCCTTCAGGTCCCAGGAATTATCTGGAGCCCAGGACCTAGGGCCCCCATTGATACTGCTGATGGAGACTCATGGTTTTCAGTGTATTGTCAACCTGGCCCCCGAGACTTCCCTCAGATTAAGAGACAAGGAAGGTGTGCTTTAGTCAAGGAGTGGGGCGAGGATGGGAAGCCCAAAGGGGAGGGGTAAAAGGTTGTCCTGATTCTAAACCATTTCTGTACCCCTCAGTCCAGAGGCCACTGTTCTCCCTCGTCTCTGAAAATTCTATGAGTAGATGATAGGTGACCCACCCAGGCTTCTCTGAAACGAGCCACCTGACCCCTTACCTTTATGTGGGCAGCTACTGCTAAGGGGGTCTAGCCTTGCGTCACACAGTCTCATCAGTGGGGGCGGGGTGTGGCAAAGTGAGGCTCAAGGGCCAACTTCAGCAGTACCTTGGGATGCTAGTCCCAACTGTGAATGCTACTGCTACCAGACCATTCACCGCATTCTCACTGCATCCCGGAAACGACACTGGGGACCTCCAGGGGTATTCGTAAGGGCAGGCTCTGGAGAAGGTGGCCCACAAGCCAGGAGCTGAACGCTGCACACAGCAGCCATACGCTTCCCTGCTAAGTACAGCAGGGAAGTGCCAGAGCCCCGGCAGGACAAAAAACGAGTGGGCTGTGCTGGGGTGAGCTCCTGAGTCTAGACTAGTCTGACCAGACGCTGTGCAAGTCCAGGGAGCGGAGGCTTGAGCCGCCCAGCACACGTTGTCTGGGCAGTAAGTGGAGCAAAGCAAGAGCGGACGTATCCTGCCCCCCTCAGCTCCCGTGTCCGTGCCGCCGGACCCAGACTCTCTCCCAAGGAACCAGGAGAACCAAAAATCCGTTTTCCTGCCTAGGGCTGGAAGTGCAAGTGCCCTCCCTCCCCGCGAGAAGCGATCTCGAGGTAGCTGGAGCTTCTGTGGGTGTGAGAGCGCTGCCGCGCTCCTCCGTAGCCTGCACAAGCCTGCCATTCCACCATTAAACCTGTGACTCCAGGCCTTGAGCCTGTTGAAGGTCGAGCCCCAGAAGGGTCGTACGCGCAACTGCCCGGGAACGAAGAGTTCCCGCTCACAAGGCAGAGAGAGGAGTTCCCGGGTCTGGGGCGTGGGGGCGGGGACGCACCCTGGGCGCTCAGACCCGGCCGGCCCGGGCGCAGGACTCGCGAGCCCGGATTCGGATCGGCTGCGCGAGCCGCCAGGGCAGGCTCGGGGGTGGTGAACGGGGACGAGGGGCGCGCGGGCACAGGCGGGCGCGCGGCCGCGGCGGGGGCGCGCGGAGGCGGGCCGGCCGAGGAGAGGGGAGGGAGGGAGAGACAGGGAGAGGGCGGCGCCGGCAGGTTGGCGGCGGCCGCTATTTGAGCGCAGGTCCCGGGCCAGGCGCTCAAAGCGCTCGGAGCCAGCGCGGCGGGGAGACCGGAGCGCGCAGCCCGCAGAGGAGGCGCTGCGGCCGGTGCCAGCCCCGGAGGCCCCCGCGCGAAGGAGGTGGAGGAGAGGCCGGCTCGCCGCCCGCAGCCCGCCGCCCGCGCCCCCCCTCCATCCCGCCGCCGCCGCCGCCGTCCCCCCCTCCCCTCCCCGCGGCGCCGCATCTTGAATGGAAACATGGCGGTGCCGGCTCGGACCTGCGGCGCTTCTTGGCCCGGCCCGGTGCGGACCGCGCGCCCCTGGCCCGGCCGCGGCCCCCGGCCCTGCCCTGACCCCCGGGGCCCAGCGTCCGGGCCCGCGCGCCCGCTCTCGCTGTTGCTGCCGCCGCTGCTGCTGCTCGTACCGCTGCTCGCCGCCCCCGGCGCCTCTGCCTACAGCTTCCCCCAGCAGCACACGTAAGTGGCCTCGGCCGGCCGCGGGACCCCCCTGCGCCCCTCAGCCCGCGGCTGCCCCCTCCTCGCGCAGGGGGTCCGGGATGTGGGGGGG